GTACCTGCATTAAGCACTTGTGTTAAAATGTTGAAGGAAGGCGATGAGCGAACGAAAGCCATGTTCTTACTAGCAATGCTGGATATGCAGCAAAGTAAACCGATGAGGGTGAACATGAAAGAACCTGAAGAACTGGAACCCATGAAAAAGATAGACGAGATCAGGAGATTCTCAAACAAGGAGTTGAGGCTCACTAAAGAATCTATGGGAGCATTGCCAAAATCCAGTGAATACTGTGGACCGATCAAGAAGAAGTCCTATAGCTATGTGTCCGGGATTATAGGGATAGCATACAATCCTTTCCTGAGTGAAGACATACGTGATTGCTTCTTTGATTATGAGCAGGCGGTGTTACTAAGATTCTGGACGTCCAGAATTGTGACGACTAAGAGCGTTAACAATCCACAGGCCAAATTGGGATTGGTCTTGGAAGAAGAGGTGACTGCACCTTCAGTACCAAAATCCGACAAGAGAGTGGAATTTGGGTTGGGATTCTCAGATGAATTACTGAGAACGAGCTTGATGGCAGTGTGGGAATTGATGAAGCCATCGTGGTGTCCTAGTCCCAACGCTGACTCAATATTACGGGCGACACAGGACGTACAGAGGGAACTGAATGTGGACTGTAACCTGCGTGACCTCAACATCATATATAATGTGATGATAACAGCCTCTAAGAGCAACGGAGAAGATAGAGTGGAGTTGCCTGGCTGGGGACCAGAAGACTGGGTCAAACCTGGTAGCTGTCTGGCGGAAGTCTGTGGACTAGAGGGTCACGTTTGTGGAAGTCTAGACTGTGTGAAAACCCTGGAGAAACAACACAAGCAGTTGACGGTATTGTTTGGAAATGTAGTGATGAAAGCAAGAACGGAAACGGAACTGATAGCAGATTGCCATGGAGGAACCGATGTGAATCTAGTGACAGCACTAGGATTCTACAGCATGTTTGGTTCTTTAGAGTCACTATTGAATCTAGAACAGAAACATGAGATGGTCACAGCCATCAGCGTAGAGGTATTCCCAGGAGTTCTGCAGACTGAGCAGAAGTATATAGGAAAATGGAGGGAAGCAATCGAAACGGAGATGAACATCAGACACAGCGAAACTTATTGTAGACCATCAGGAGCACGATATTTGGTGGGTTCAACGTTGGCTCCAATGTGCAAGAGCAGATACCCTGTACATTTCGTGGCTGTGGACGTGAAGAGCACAAGAACGATCGTGGATCAAGCTTTTTCAGTGCCGAAGTGCGTGAGGTTGGCGAGAATGTCTGAAAAGTCTTACGAGTTACTGTGTAAGATTTTCTCAGCAGTTCCAGAAAGAACCAAAGAAGAGTTGGAGTCAATACTAGGAAAGAAATTCATGGGATATGTGAGCGGGAACTTCAGTGACTTTGAAAAACAGAAACAGAGAGGATCAACTGTCACAGATTACAATGCAGTAGATGAGAATGATGAAATCCACCGAGTGATGATGGAAGTGGAACCATTGCTGGAAGCTTCGGGAAAACGTAATTGGAGGAGCATCATGTTGACGCATGATGAGTTTCCTTGCCACTGCTTGCTGCAGACCTGGTGGTATCCCAAGCGTAGTAATCTGGTGTTGATCTGGGACTCTGGAGAGCTGCTCTCCATGGGTTTACCAGATTCATCACAGCCCATAACAATAGTGATAGTGGGAGTTATGATGGCGATACGATGGCTGGAAGCTCACGTGAGAGAAAATAATAGACAGGAAGCACCGACGAGAGAACAATTGCAGAAATTAGATTGTCTAAAAGATTTAGATCTTTTTGAGACAATGTGCAAAGTTCTAAACATTCCGATGGAAGTGAAGAAGATATGGGCAAGAAAACGATTGATGCCATGGTTCAGAGCTAACATGACTGCATGGTTGTACGAGTATGCGAAAAAGCATATGTCGAAGCATGGCAGAGTGTACAGTGAATATCAGCTGGACATTGGGGCAGGAGCTTTCAAGCGAGCTTTCGTGACCCATCGGAATGCAGTGACCACCGCTGTGAAAAGAATTTCCAGGACGAGCGAGCGTAGTGGAAATGAGAAGGCAGAGATGCTGAAAGAAGATTTGGAGAGAAACGTGACGTTGTGTCTCCACAACAGCTTCTGTAGAAACAGAGAATCAAACGTGGATCCCCTACCTTGCTGTAAACAGAGGGTGGAAGAGCAGAAGTGTTGGAGGACGGCTTCCAACAGCGTCAGGATAGTCAATGACGTGCTACAAGACACGGAGACCGAGAGTGCAGAGTCAGCGTCACAGGAGGAGGAAATGGAGCATTGATGAATGGTTGAGAAAACAAGAGGCAACAAGAAAGAAAATTAGAAGAATTTAGAAGTTTTAGAACTTCTAAACGACGAAAAAAGAAGAGAACAAAGGGATGATGAAGAAAAGTTAAAACTCAAAATTGTTTTATGTGTGTGAAAAACTCAAATGAGAAACCAAGCAACCAAGTTGTAATTGAAAACTGAAACATTTAAGTTGAGTTTGGAAATTGTTGCATTTATAAATTTGCATTTTGGTTTTAGTTGAAGTGGCTTTAGAGACACTCACTTATTATTTATTTAGAAAGGCTTGAGGGAAGAGTATATTTAAATATTCCAGCCTGCATGATTGTTTTTAATCACTTAGGAAGACTGATCACTTTGTGGTGACATGAAAAACTTGAGTAACTTCTTGAGGAGGGAGGTTGTTGCATTGTTCTTTCTAACCACAAAGTTCCTTAGTTTTAATATTCAGGACAATAAACGAGCAAGATTTCCGAAGGGAAGGAGCATAGTAGGATAATTTTAGCTTGTTGGTTGGCAGGACTGTCCTGCAAGCCAGCACCTTTTAAATCTAGGAGAAAAAGTTTCAATCGGGATATTGACACTGGAAGTCAGAAAATATGTTTTATCTTAAGTCATATCCTCAATGTGCAGAGTGATGAAAGAATTTGAAGGCTATAGTGATGTAGGATGATGCCATTTATATTCTGCAGTGAGTTGATATGACGTGGATAAAAGTAATTCCGTGCATTTTGTAAATTCTGTTCGATGGCACTGTAACCATTTTATGAACATTGCGCGATTCAATGAGGACATTGACCGGACTGTCCGGGGAGTATGTGACATTCGACCAGAATGGCCAAAATGCAGTCTCTGCAGAATTCGGTATTTTAGCAGCAAGCCTTCCGAATTGACGATTTAGAACGGATAGGGACGTTATTTGAACGATTAGCCAAACGGTGAAGGCTGGAAGATTCTGGAATTCTAATTTTTAAAAATTCGAATTATGACGTCATATTTCTGAGAAACGTCAGAGACGGCCATTTTAGCTAAAATAGCAAAAAGGACAGAACAATTTTTATCTGCGATTACGAACAGTACGAAATCGAGACTAAAAAACTACAACGAACTACCGAACAGCAGAGGACGTTCCGAGTTGCAACTATTGTGCTGTTACAATAGTTGCAAGGCCGTTGCGAGCAACGGTGAAGGGTAAAACCCAGCCTTCCGAGTTATTGTGAACTGGATATTAAGAAGCTTGATTCACCGGATTCAAGAATCCGGAAGGGTCTCGGGACGTGGACTTTTATGAACTTATATTGAATTTTAGCATCCGTCATGTCCTGACTTGAATTTAATTAAGATCTTAATTCGTTTTGACAAGAATGAGGAGCTAGAAGTAGGGGGGAAAGGGTTGATTCACCTTCGATGGAGATGATGATTTTTATCTACTGAACAAAAACAATAGTAATATAATAAGTAGTAGCCCTGTTTTTAGGAGTGACCTCGTGGTCTGGGGATACTGAGACCCAGCCATGAGCTCACTATTTTTGCATGTAATCTAGTTAATTTGAGCGTTCTGGTCGAAGCCGGAGAACAGTAACGTTTTTGTCAGCCTGATGTAAGAAAGACCACCGAAAAGTACTGGCTTGGTAGAGACGGTGAAAAACATGCAAAGCTCTGTTTAGACGCTAGCCAGTCGTCTTAAGACTTAGTTTTGTTATCCGTCGATATGTATCTTCCGGGCGAATGTTACAATAAGCTGCTATCATGTAACAAGTCACTTCATTTGATCAAGCTCAATTTTCCTTTCACCGTCTCTCAATACACCAAGACCATGTTTATAAAGAGTATCATTTTTTATGCATCCACTGTTTGGTTTCCTTCATTATGATATATCCGAAAACTTGAAAGTTTCAATCGAAAGTGTCTGAAATGGGTTATTGGTTCAATACCCTATAAAGACCAGTTATTTCTCACGAAAACTCTGCCTATCTGTTACCGTCTTATTTTGAACGACGTGTTACTGTTCTACAAAATGTTACATGGTCTTGCAGAATTACCGTTTTCTGCATATTTCTTTTTTTTTGTGACCACCAGCCGGGAATCCACTATCGCCCGCACAATTCAAACAGCAAAGAAGTTGCAGACTAAGAAGTTCTTCTTTCCTCGCGTTTAGAATTCGGTCAACGAGTTGATCCGTCTTGGTGTAGACATCTTCGCTCCCCTCGAGTCTTTCAAGAGAAGAGTCAAGGAACTTCTTTTAGAGAGAACTGTGTCAACTTTTGATCAACTGAACTCGTGTTCATTGTTTTCGAAGTGCACCTGCTCAAACTGTCGATCTTGACTTGATATTTTTGTTTTTAATTTTGCCTTAATTTTTTATTTAAGGGAATTAGTTCTTCTTCTTCTTCTACTTGGGGGTGGGGGTTGTAGTGGCTTGTTATCTTTACGAGAATTTGATACTATGTTTGCTTTCTTTTCGGCTTTGATGGAATCGTGTTTTTTTACGGCTATCGCGGAGCATCAAAAGATTTCGGCGAACAATTTTTTTCTCGGCTATCCGGGAACGAATCTTTTTCTCTGTCTTTCGGATACGTGACACGTTACCGTTTGTGCTATGTAATAAGTTTCTCTCAAGCCTTGTGTTTTCAATCTGCATGAGCCCGAGTACCTGTTTGGAAATGATGATCTAATGTTCATTTTGTTTCCAGACAACATGTGTCTCTAAAATTGACTGCAGGGCTAATGGCGGCCAGCTCGCAATTTAGTTATCCTGTAAGTGTTTCTTTCAATCTCCAACCTGCCAAATCTCGAGTATTTTTGACTTCGTTCATAATGTTTTGACTCGTTATGATAATTATTTTGCTTCTTAGGTAGGCGCGGTGTTCGTCTTTAATCTAGTAGTCGGAACCGGAAGTCTCTCTATGCCAAATGCGTTTGGAAGTGCTGGTTATCTCCTCGGCATAATTGTGATATGCGTCATCTATTTCATTAGCTACGTGTCGGTGACTTTTATGACAGAATCACTCGCGGTTGCAAATGCTGTGGTTTCTAGAGCTAAAACGGTCCCTCGTAATACTGGTGATCAATTATTGCTGTTCAACGAGGCTGGTTCTGACACGGTTAGTAAGACTGCTAAAGCTTAGCAAATACTTGTGTTTCTTTGTCCGATTTTTTTCATTTTTTTTTCATCAGGATTATTCAACTGTACGCGGGCGTCGCAGGTTAGAAAATGAAGATGTTCCGTTGTTACCAAATGAGGACCCTGATGATTATCATTCGCCATCAACTGGCATCGATAGTATGTCCGTGTCGGGCTCCTATCTGCGACGAGAAAACATACTCGTTTCAGATGAAGACAAAATGAGTGAACTGTCCAGCCAAATAGGTAAGTTCTATTCTCTAACAATTGTACATGTCAAATGCAACCAATATATGTTTTCTTTTTGACATATTAACATGGAGATTCCGAAATAAGAATAGTGAAATATATATTTTTGGATTATCAATTCTAAATTACGATATTTGACTGCAACCAGTGTTTTACTCATCGTTTAACCTAATCATTAGATTCCTTTTTAATATGTCCATGTCCAATGTTTTAGAAAGTGCTTTCGAAATCAAACAAAAATTTGAAATGGTAAGTGGTCCTTGTCTCGCAACATGAATCCGTTTCAATAGCAGTATTCAGCACAAGTTATTTTTTAAGGGAGAGCTTTGTAAGCTATTCGCCGGTAGTCAACTGTGGACAATCTTCTTCTATATCTGCATTTCTATTTACCTCTACGGTGACTTGGCCATTTATGCTGCTGCAGTCCCCAAGTCTGTCAGAGATGTCATTTGGTAAACACTTTTTGAACACAAGTGTAGGTTCACCCGTTCAATAAGCAAGGGTATTGCCGGTTAACCTGACGTTTTTCCCGTAAACAACTTTGTTCAAAAATGACTGACATTGAGGTCATCTTCAACTTAACTAATCATGGTTGTACGAATAATTGTAACTACAGTTAAAGTTTTAGTATAAGTAAACTAGGTAGATCAACTCGACACTTGAGACAATTTGAATTTTTCTAAGAATCCTAATCACGACCGTTAGGGCTTTAACATCATTACGCATGCGATTCACAAGCGTTATCAAATCGGATATAGAAATTTTTCGGGTTAACAACTAGTTAAGCAAAATCAGTTGAATGGTTTTCTTAGCCACCAGGGGGACGTGCCCGGCATGCTCAAACCGAGTCCTAGAAATTCGACTTTCGAGTTAGGTGTTTATAGAAGAGGCAGGGATTGCGAGTTTCGATGTAGGGATTTATAGAAGAGGAGATATCGGGGCTGTTGAGTGGTGGTACTTAAGGGGAAGGTTCTTATCGCCTGCCCAACTATTTTAGTGTCGATTTGTAATTTTGAAAGGCGGAAAAACGTCGTGAAAAATTCGTTTAAAATGGGAAAAGATGCATTTGCTGTCTCGGAAAATTTTTTCTGTTCCGGGAGCATAAATCTCCAGTATTGAACTTTATTGAAGGAGAAAAGGCTTGTGGAGCTTTTTGACGAGGAAGCAACAAGAGATCTAGTTTAAACGTTTGGTGTAAACTGGTGTAGTTCGATAAAATGGAGGAAGCTTTCTTGTAAGTTGCTCGACTGAACGAAGTTGTGATAGTCGTTTGCGTCGAATTGTAATTCAACTTCCGGTGGCAATAATTGCGTATCTTGAACGTCAAAAAAACACAGTAGGTGATAGGACTGAGTCTTGTCGCTGACTTGTGTGAACAATTTTAGATGTGGACAGAGTATCCCTAAAATGACTACGCAAATCATTTTATAACCATCTGGTTAAGCTTCCTGGTATGCTGTGTTCATGAAAAAGATCCAAAAGAGTTTGATGACAGACCATATCGAGAGCTTCAGATAAGTCAAGCGTGGCCAAAAATTCGAGGACTGATTGTGCCGTTGTGGTTGTGTGCCATGTTGGTAGTCGGCTTTAGCAGGTACTTACTTCGGTTTGGGTGAACTAAAGATTCTTAAGTTTTAACAACTGGGCTTAAAATTGAGACCAGGTGGTAAGATTCTGACGATTTGAGGTCTTTGTTTCGTTTAAGGAGGGGTGCCACCATTGAAGTTTTCCATATTTAAGGTATGATGCTAAAAGATACAGAGCGGTTAAAATTGATAGCCACCGGTCCAATGTCTTTCTTTAGATGAACCGTGCATAGACCATCTGATCGTAAACCTGTTGACGGTTTCATCAGTTTTATACAGTTTTCCACTTCAAGTGGCATAAAACAGAGCAGGCTGAGTTGATCTTGAGAACTTTTCGTTTGGTAACTCTTTGAGCTTTATTGCTTTTCTGTGTCTTAGTTAAGTGTAGTGTACATCAACAGCATTTGCAATGCCTTTCGCCTGAAAAATCTTTGTCATTTAAATTGATTGGATGGGTTCCCACCAGAGACTTAGAGCCATTTAATGATATAATCATTTTCCAGGCCTTGCCATGTGTGTAATGACTGAAAGTCTGGAGTAGTTCTGCCATTTCTTTGCTTTTGCATTTGTCGTGTTCAACACGATTTCCCTGTTTACTTCATCGAAAAGTGGATCTGACGGTTGTGTTAATCTGATGTTGTCCCTTTCTTGTTTTCGTTTCTTGTTTTATTTGGTGCACGCACAGAGAAACGATGGCGACTTGCAGGAATGTAGTGACGGGTTGCAGAGAGAATGTTATCCGGGAAAGTCTCCTCGGCGGCATTTACATCAACCTAATTGGGTTTTTCTGCAATAGTTGCTTCATTTTTATCTTAAGAAACTTTTCTGTTCGCTTAAGTATTCATGGAAGTTGTATGAGGCGCAAAAGAGATATTCTCAGCAATAAGAAAATTCATTCAAATTGCTAGGTGATCTGAGCTCAGTTTAAAAAGTGTTTGCCAAGCAAGAGAACTAAAATTGACGGAGATGCGAGTGATCTGCGAGGTGATGATGCTGATTAGCTTCTATCATAAGGCAGTCAAGTTTGGTGGTGATCATTTAGTGGGGTTGAACTGAAATTGAATACTGCTGGATCCTAGATTAGCTGGCGTCTGTCCTTTGGTATATTAGAGCACCAAAATGGAGAATGAGCGTTTGCATTGTCTAGTGCAATACTCTTCTCTTCTGAGAGGAGCTTTGAATGGTTGCTTTATAGTTTTTAGGACTGCTTTTTTGTAAGGGATATAAAAATTCACGATACGGAGATTCCGATTGTTGGCCTTTACATTATACTTTGCGCCTCCAGAGTTCCGTCTTCCATTAATTCCTTTTCGTCGCCCTAACGAGAGAATGCATTGTTTCAGATAAAGTTGAATTTCTTGAAAAACCGCAATTTGCAAATGGTACTCGCACATTGAGGCTACTGTTTCACGTGCTTTCCCAGAGATGCGATTACAGTTAAACTGAGAAAATTCAGAGCCTTAGTTAACGGTGAAAGTGGATCTTTTGGTTACTCAGTGGGTTTGTCACTGATTGTTGAACTGTGTTAGTGTTTGAAATCAAGGAGGCTTTATTTACTGGGGAAGTATAGTGAAAGAAGGGGAAGTTGGTCGGGAACTAGTTGCGGAGTTTGTTACTGGGAGGGGCAAGATGTAATTTGCTGTGCAAAATCAGTTGAATCACTTGGCATTTGTGTTGTAATGGAATGCCCAAAAACAGATCTTTTGAGCTTTTCTGCGGTTTAAATAGCCGTTTTATTCGATTATTTGTGCTTTCAAAACACTGTTTTTTTTCCGCTGATTAGCGTTTTTTTTTTTCATTTTTGTTTTCTTCGGCTTAAATGGATTCGGCTGATAATATATCTGTTTATTTGCCTCATAATTTGTCATTTGAAGGGCCAAAATAGATATTTTTTTCGTTTGCTTTTGAAGAGGTGTTAAAAACGGGAGTTTAAATGTTCAAGAGGTTTTACAGCAACTTTTTTTTCGGATCATTTTTCGTCTTCCCAAGTGCTGTCTGCTCAGTTTCCCTTTGATGAATGTTGCTTCAAAATATTTATTTCACATTGGCTATTGTATTTCTCAAAATCTTTCTTCAAACTCAACCAACTTCGAGACAAATAAAAAACTAGATATATATTTTTTTCATTTTCAAATTTCCCGAATCAGTGGCTGTTGTACTATTTTTTAAAGCTAGCTGCCGTTCTTTTTTCTGTATCGCAAGTGCCGCGAAGCTCCGCTTCGCGTCTTTTTATCACTTTGGACCCCATTGTGCTAATGAGTATCAGAAAAAGCTTGAAGCCATGCATGCTTGAAAATTTTTATAATTTTAGCCATCCGCTACTATATTTCCAGATGATTGTTAGCTAACCTACTAAAATTTTTATTACAGCAGCGTTTTTTCCATCGAATACTTTGAACTATTCATTGAGTATATGAAACAAACAGCAATCATAACAGCTAATAAAAGTTGAAAAACTGCCGTATTTGCAAGAGTTGATAGTCGAATGTTGTTGGGTTTAATTTCATTTAAACTCTCCTAAATCATATCAAATATTCGTGTTTTGAATTTATCGCACATCTTAAACGATGTGTTTTTAGTTCTAACCTGTCGGGTTACGACACTATGAGTAACAGCGACCCATGTTGGCCTGACTCGGCAAGCATCACACGCATAAACGTCTACCGATGCATCTTGGCTGTGTTCATTTCTACATTCGGTATCTTCGCCTTTTTCGAAGTCTCGAAGACGATGGTGCTCCAGATATGCACTGGACTTATCCGGTGGACCTCGTTCCTAATGATGGTCATTTTGGCTATTATGCAGATCGCGAAGGGAGAAGGAGTTGCCCAGCCCCCAACTGCAGTCAAATTCGACGGCTTGTTTGGGCTCTTTGGAGTACTCATTTATTCGTTCATGTGTCACCACAGGTGATTATTCAAGTTGATTTCAAAGTCGGGGTTATTTTGGAAAAAGTTGAAATGATAGTTATAGAAATCAGCAACTACATTGTGTTGTGATCGAGATCACTGGAACTTGCGGTATATTGAAAATTAGAATTGTAATGGTAATATGAAAGCTGAAAACTGATTCTTAGCAAGTAGCTATCGCCTTTGTCGTTCAACAATTGCTTTTTTTAGAGACCCAACTGAATTCTGAATATCAGTAAAAATTTATCGATTTCAACAATTAGTTTTATACGTATGGAGATGATTATCTTTGCGATAAGCAAGGGTATTGCTATCGGGTACTAGACTTTTTTTCCATAAAAAACTTTGTTCACAGAATGGTCAAATTTAGTAGGAATGGTCAATTTTACCCTCAATAGCTGACATTCTCATTTTTTTGAAATTTTATTAAAACGACTATCTTTCAGGTTGTAACTATGTGGAGTCCGTTTCAGACAATAAATTCATGCAATTTTGAAAAAAAAATTATGAATTGTTTTGGACTCGTGGTGTAGTCCTAGTTTTCGTCTCGGCGCATTTTTCGTTGTGATAAATGTCACTTTTATTATCTGGTACGGTTTTTTATCGGCAGACTTTATAAAGCATGGGTTTTAGTTGATTAGAACAGTTTTAACTATAACTAATATTTCTGTAATTTATAAATTTACCAAATGTGATTTTGAATAGTTTTGTTTTATTTGGTTTTCCGATTAAACTCTTTGGGCTTATGATATCAGCTTTGACGACTTATATTGGGTAGTTTTGAGGACAAAAAATATTTTTATGCTTTCATGTGTTTCAGTTCGGATGGGTCGTTACATCAGTTTTTTTTAGGCTTTCATTACATCACTTATATCTTTTTGAATATTAAAAAGAAACATTTTTCGTTGCACCGCATGTCTTTTCAAAAATTGTGGCTTTCTTTCGATGCTTATTGTAAGCTTTCTTTCGATGCTTATTTGACTTTCATTTGTCTGACTTCTTTGCATATTTTCCTGAAAAGACCTTTTATTCAAGAGAAAATCGAGACAAATGTTGAAAATTTTTTGATAGATCAATTTTTCGATGTTTTTTTTTTCAAAAAAAAAAATTCTACGGCTTTATACATATTGTTGTTGGTTAGGTTGTAATGCTATGTATGTGTTGTATCGCATTTATTCGGAAGCTTTGCTTCGCTTGTTTGTAATTTTTCTAAAGGTGCTGTTAATTCGGTTCTAAGATTTCGTTTTTTTTTTTTTCAGTTTTTATATATTCTCATTTGTCGGTTCATCTGCTATTAATAGTATTCATTCGCTTTTCCATCGCAAGTGGTGGGAAGCTCTGCTTTGCCTCGGTTAATATTGAATTATTGCGAATTTTTTCTGCTACTAGTGTGAGTTATTGCATAAATAGTACAGTTATTTTTGACGAGGGATTTTGTTTTAGTGTACCGACTCTGATCATGCCTCTGAAAGAGAAAAGATACGCGAAGGAAATGCTTTTAGTAGACTACACTCTAGCGCTTTTCTTCTATCTCATCAACTCTGTTGTCGCTGTATTCGCTTTCAAAGACCTAGAAGATCTCTACAGTGAAAATTTTGTGTCGATCAACATCCCAAACGGATGCAAGTACTTCATCGGTTTGTTTCCAGCCCTGGTGTTGTGTACAAGCTTCCCAATAATTGCAGTAGTCTTACGCAACAACCTCAAAGCACTCTTCCGACAGCTGCTAGGAAGACCAGCTTTTCCCTTCTTGATTGACAGGATAGTGTTTCCTTCAGCCTGTCTAGTGGTTCCGCTGATAGTGGCCATGATCACTGATGATGTGACATCATTGATGAAAGTGACAGGTGGTCTATCGGGTGGGTTTATTGAGTTTTTCTTCCCAGCTCTAATTGTCTACTTCGCGAGGCAGAAAGTGCAGCAATTACAGGAGGGAAATAGCTCGTTTCAAGTGCCAAAATACGTAAAATCCTATTTCCAATCTGTATGGTTTGTCTACATGGTTTTCGCATGGACAGCTATATGTCTTATAATGACCATAGTAGGGTTTTTCTATTAGAAATGTTGTTTTAATATTAGCTCACAGTTAATTATTCAATAGTTTTCTACCTCGTTCACACATATCGCAAAACTATTTCCTGATGACTGATATATTCTGAAATCCCCGAAAAGAAAGTTTCATTACTTGATTCTATGGTCTATAATATTTTTCGTTATTTTACTATAGAAGAACCCAAAATTGGATTAGATTTTCCGTCTGTGAAGAAGGAAATAGTTTCTGACTTAAATGTTATTTGATTTTATATCTCGGATTTGAAGCAGAGCTTCACTAATTGACTTATACTTAGATTAATTCAAAATTGCAACCATAAATCTGTTTTCGAAAATTTGATTTGTAGCAGAGAGAAATGTATATATTCTGAAAAAAATTCCCGAAATGCGCCTAATTTTTTGAATAGAAGTTAACAATTGCGAGCACTAGGTTCTTCCTTTCCATAACTAGACCTCATCCTGTTATCAACTGAAGGTGTAGTTAGGATTAGGGAAATTCGAATTTAGAGTAACGCCTAACAAGGAATCCAAACCGACAGTACTCGGTGTATTTCAAACAAAAGAACCAAGAAAATCCGACCGAACTAAATTATTATTAAGTCAGCCTCTCAGCAAATTTCGTCTAATTTAATCTAGAAATCGAAAATATTCAGACCAATATTCCTGAAAAAAAACTACGAAAATTTTTTTTAATTCGTGTGATTTTGTGTGTGTGTGTGTGTGGTGTGTTAAAAAAATCTAAACGAAAGCCTAAAACTAAGGCATATTCGACACCCAGTAAAATAGGCAAGATGGAAAACAATTTCTGTCGAAAAATGACTGAAAAAAAAATCTTAAAAAAAATTGTTCTTATTTTTTCCTAAGTTTTTTGAAATTCGGTACTAAAAAACGTCGAAAAACAAATTTTCAGTTTTCATTAAAAGTTTCACGGCTTATCCTTCCTCTATAAACATCCTATTATAAGCCTGCTCGCTCGCTTTTTTCGCTCTAAATTAGACCACTTTTTTCTGCCGATATGATTAAAACTTTTTTCTGCCGATATGATTTCGACCTATTTTTATCGACTTAGTGACCTAGTTTTGAATTATTTCAACGGAAACACATTTTTAATGCTCATCTCTGGATTGCATAAAATGCTAAAATTCCTATAGAATTATAGTTCAAGTTGTTTTTTTTTTCTTTTTTTTTGACTTGATAGGTTTCAGCCTATGTTATTTAAGCCTATTGGCCTCATATTGTATCTTTTGATGAGCCAAACAAAGTTTTTTTGTGTGCGTATCTGTGTTTTGAGGTTGAGGGGGACTTTTATTAGTCATAAATTTTTTTGAAATTTTTTTCCGCCGTTTTTATTTTCATTTTTCTGGGCTCAATAGGTTTCGGGCTTTTCTATATCGGCTTAGTGGGCTCATAATGTTTCATTTGACGAGCAAATAAAGTGTTTTGATTTTGGCCATTTTCATGTTCTTCTTGCGTCAAAATGTTGAACGGAGTCTGATAAAGTATTTTTCTACCTTTTTTTGCCTTATGATTGCTTCTGAGTTGGTCAGACAAGGTACTCTGAATCGCCAATGTTCCAGAATGGGCTCGTGAAAAGGCTGCTTTGACTTGGCTTGATGAAACAGTCACTGTATACTGATAAATAGTTTCGTTTTCAGGCTGTAATGCATAGTAATAATAATTGGCTTAATTTCAACCATGAAATACCGTCTCAGAATATAGGTAACATCAAAGTACAGAACATCATCACTATCAACGCACGAACCCCTAACTTGCTGCCACCGCCTTACACAACAGCCTTGTCCAACGAAAATGTTCAGCCTATGCCATTACAGTCTCAATATCAAAACCATATCGACGAAAGCAAGCGGATACATGGGCCGAAAGTATCTGATTTTGTCGGCAATTCAAGAAAAAGGTCAAATTTACAAAGAAACGCAGAGCTGAGTCTTCCTCCGGAGTTTGGCGATCAGAAGTTATTTCAGAACGGGTTCAAAAGTGACTCTTTTTTGAACTCTTCTAACTATTTCAAGCCAATTTCGTCTAATTTCAGTGACTCAATTTCGCCACCTTGTAATGAAAACAGTCTGAATTCGCCAGCTGAGACTCCGAAACGGGCCAAATTTGTCAATCCGAATGAAGTTAAACTCGAGATACAAAATAACTTTGGTTGTGTGAACGATATCTGCGATAAAGAAAATGAGAATAGAAAGAGTACTTTGGAATGCTCGAAAGACCAAGAGGAATCTAAGGTCACCAAAGGTCATCAGAAGCCGCCTTATTCGTATAGCTATCTGATTGTGTTGGCACTTAAAAACAGTAAAAACGGGTATTTACCTGTAACTGATATCTACAGCTTCGTAAGGTATGTAGATTTTAATTCTTAAGAGCAAGTTTAACGGTTTGATTTAGATGAGCTAATACGGTTAACTTTGTTTCAGACGACATTACCCTTTCTACGAAACGGCAACGGATGTATGGAAGGTAATTTAATTGTGTAGATGAAGATATTTTATATTCGCTGTCGCTGATACAGAAATTTTTACATTTCGAAAAAGTTTGCTTTTCTGTAATCGATTTTTTGTTACCCTTGCGATAAGCAAGGGTATTGCAATTGGGTGCTAGACTTCTTTTCCCGTAAACATTTTTGTTCACAGAGTGGTGATTTTCAATAGGAATGGAAAATATCACTGACATGCTCAATTTCTTGAAATTCAAATAAAATAAAGCTACTATTATTTAAGTAGTAATTAGCTTAAGATTGTTTCAGGCTGTAATTAATTCTTCAAAAAAATTCTCTTTTTTTCGGGTTCGTGGTTTTCGTCCTATTTTCTGTCGGCTCATTTTCCGTTTTTTTAAATGCGTAATTTTTTTTCATTTTTTTTTGTTTTTTTTTCCTGATATTTAAACAGTTTGTTATTTCGGCTTAGTCAATTTATATTGCGCAATTTTGAGGGCAAACTATATTCGTATAGGATTATGTGCTTCAGTAATGGATGGGTCGTAAAAACTTTAAAAACTTCCTGAAGTTTTTTATGACAGTTTTGTTTTCGGCTCAACAGCTTTCGACCCAAAATTTGTCGCCTTTGTTGCCGCTCGGTGAATGGTTTCAATTTTTTACGAGCTGTTTGTGAACTTCATCTTATACAAACATGAAGTTTTTGTAGGTGTAATTTTTCCAACTTTTTCTAGTTTTATTTTTAAGAAATTTTTTTAAATTCCATCTTTTTCTACTAACTACATTGTAGCGCTATGTCTAGGGCGATTCGAATTTTTTCAAGCTAGTTCAATACTGGCTGTTTTGTTCTGCCACAGGTTTTCATCAAAATGAGTTTCAGTTTAAAACAAACATTTGGAGCTTCGGGTGTTGATTTTTTGGCGTTTTGTCATTTTTTTCGATTCGGCCATTTTGTGCAGATCAGCTTCGCCTCTGTATAATTTTGTTGCGCCAAGAAAGGAAATCGCGCATGTCAGGAAAAACAACTTATTTATAATTCACTTATTTATTATAATTCGAATTATCCTTGTGATTTGACTTCAGAATTCCATTCGGCATAATCTGTCTCTGAGCAAGGGCTTCGAGAAGGTGGCCAGATACAACCCAGAGGCTCCCAGCAGCAAGAAGGGATGTCTGTGGGCCATGAACCCAGAAAAGATACACAAGGTGGACGAGGAGTTGGCCAGAATCAGAGCTAAAGACCACCAGCAGATTCTGGACAGCATGCGGTATCCAGGTAATATAGTTTATAAAAGAAATTTTGGGTGTTAAATTGTGCACGCTTTTGGCATAGTTGGAAAGGACGCACTAGTCTAAATTTTCTGCTAAAACATTAATAGCCCGCCGCTCTGACGACTACTATTTTTTCCAAAATAAAATAGATATTTTGATTTTGCTGAAGATGTCGTTTTTGTGCGTGTTCGGGGAAGAACTAAAAGGTAGCCTGACTAAAGGTAGCTATAATATTCCGTATCTGGCGGATGGATAATACGGGTATACTGTCGTCTACTGTTATGCGAGCTGTTCAATTGGTAATGTTATTTAGCACTACTGGCTATCAATTGTATTTAGATTGGATTCATTATTTAGATATGTCTCGAGCGGTAACGACCTATCTTGCTTTAAAGGATGCTGGTTCCGATTCCTAGCTTCTGATATTTCGCAAGTCGATCGGCGCAAGTAAGGGCATGATTGGAATAGTTTATTAAGTTGATCTCTATTCAATTGATTCGTAGCTCGGTATAAATCTCCAATGATTGGTATTAATTACCATCAATGTTTACATAGTTAAATAAATATATTATGCAGCTCTATTTTAACATCAAGGTGAATTATGTAATCTATTCGGTTCAGATGGTTAATTAGAATGAATGACATCATGAAGGGATGATGTCACACAACCTCACAAGAAGAAGTCTTCCCGGGTGGTTGAAGTGTTTCATCAGATACATTTACAATAATTCACATAATAATTTAAGACTGCTTTGATTAAGAATATGTACAAGTATCAATATGGTATGGGTCTATCAAAAGTTATATCGCAATAATTTAATAAACTCATAATATTAGAAGCACAGTTTATTAATTCAATTTATAAAACGAGAGAAGATAAATTATTTTAAACTTAAATGGGAGATAATTTTTAAGCAAGCCACCTTGAGTCGGGGTATGGGAGTTAAAGTGATAGATGATAAGGATAAATTAATGATATCATGATGTATTCAGTTGTCAACTGTAACTAAATTTCCACGGCAAGAACTGTCGTGTGGAGTAGCTGAATAGTTTTGGTCGTCGTTTCGTTTTAATTTTTGATATCGCTGTCTTCGTTCGTTGTTGCCTTTCATTCTTTTTGTGCTCGTTTGATGCTGAAGTCTTTTTGATATGAGGCGGTGTGGTTCCAATCGTTGCCTCATAGATTGTGAATTGATTATCAACAACTTAACAGTGATATGTTTTGTTGATTTCTTCACGATTTCTTTTGAAAATTTTCAACTAGCTTAGCAATTAGTACTTTATATTACTTGCTAAAAGGTTGATATTTCATTTACTGTTCGTTGTCTATTTTTCAGAAGTCTTCTGGTCTTCATCGTATGGGCGTTTTGTGCCTTTATTGGCCTTACTCCCTGAATGAAGGTGATCGACTTTTTTCTTTGAAAAAGTCAAAATTACACATTTCTACGATGTTTTTGCATTGATCGCGATCATCGTATTGTGTGTAGTGTCTGGCTTTTTGTTTTTTTTTCAGTTCTTTTCTTCTACTGTAGCTGCACTTTACTCCTATAGGCTATTCAGACAATTTGCTGGTTCGCCTGAGCAAAATTTGGCGTCAGTTAGAGTAGTTGATAAATTACTTTTTTTTTTTTTTTTTTTCCATTAATTTCGTTTATCTTTTTTTGATATCTTCTTGGCATTCAAGATTCGCGTGTTGTTCTTCAGTATCACTGACAACCTTTTAGGGTTGCCTAACAAGCACATTGGATGTTTGTTGGCTCATTTGAACGCTTTCTTTCTGAATTTCTGCGAAGATATCCCTCGAATTTTATATTTTTTCTTGTTTTGCCTATCATAATACATGGGAATAGTGTAAATTGATGTATTTCTCCAAATTTTGATCTGCTAGTGGATCGACTTCCTGCCTGTTCCTTATTGGTGGTCTAATGATTACTGAGCCCAAAAAATTTCTTTCTTCTCTAGCTAATATTTTTGGGGGGAGCAGAATCTTTTTATTCGTAATGTTTAAACGTTGGCAACAGGTGGATTTTTCGAGATCTCGCGAAGTTGACTTCTCCTAGTGAGCCGACTTCCTGCCTGTTCCTCATTGGTCGTCTAATGATCACTGAGCCCAAAAAAATTGGTTCTTCGTTAGCTAAAATTTTTGGGGGGAGCAGAAACTTTTTATTCGTAATGCTTAAACATGGGCAACAGGTGGATTTTTCGAGATCTCGCGAAGTTGACTTCTCCTAGTGAGCCGACTTCCTGCCTGTTCCTCATTGGTCGTCTAATGATCACTGAGCCCAAAAAAATTGGTTCTTCGTTAGCTAAAATTTTTGGGGGGAGCAGAAACTTTTTATTCGTAATGCTTAAACATGGGCAACAGGTGGATTTTTCGAGATCTCGCGAAGTTGACTTCTCCTAGTGAGCCGACTTCCTGCCTGTTCCTCATTGGTCGTCTAATGATCACTGAGCCCAAAAAAATTGGTTCTTCGTTAGCTAAAATTTTTGGGGGGAGCAGAAACTTTTTATTCGTAATGCTTAAACATGGGCAACAGGTGGATTTTTCGAGATCTCGCGAAGTTGACTTCTCCTAGTGAGCCGACTTCCTGCCTGTTCCTCATTGGTCGTCTAATGATCACTGAGCCCAAAAAAATTGGTTCTTCGTTAGCTAAAATTTTTGGGGGGAGCAGAAACTTTTTATTCGTGATGTTTAAACGTTGGCAACAGGTGGATTTTTCGAGATCTTCATGAAGTTGTGATCTGCTAGTGGACCCACTTCCTGCACGAGTCCTAGTTGGGCCTTGAAGGTATTCCACGGGTTCAAAGCGGTTGCATTACTTATATTTCGACTTGGGTGTCAGTTTTTCAGAAAAGCTCAACTTGAGGAAATGAGAGTTTTCTCGAAATTTTATACTTTTTCTGTTTTATTTTGGTTTTTTCGTGACTTCAATTGTATCGATTGGGTGGTTTTGGAGCTTACATTGTTAAGAATGCATGCATGAACGTTACTAGCTGATATCGTGATTTTTCGTCACACATAAATAAAGATTTTGATGTTCGTTTTTTCGAAAATGTCGCAAATTAGGCTGAAAACTCTGCTTTCTTTCAATTTGTCGAGTCCACATCCGATTTTCGGCATGGCTATAGCGTTTATTCCCTTCTGCAGTAGCTGCTGCTTCATGCAGTTGAGGCTTCTTGACAAATCGTAGTATGTTGGCTTGTCAAAAAATTGTGGTTTTGTGACTAAATTGAAAATTGACTTGTTTTCCCAAGGCAAAGAAACTGAAACTGATGATCCAACTATCGGTGTTTCAATGCTTTTTAGGGTTGGTTTGATGCATGGGTAGGCGCTGATGATCTGCTGTGCTACTCCTTTTGCCATTTGAAAGTCACTTGAGACGCAGTGAGCTATAGAGCCAGGGAACTGTAGGACATCACCTGATCCCACAAAGATATTTGGTTCATATATTGCATTTACCGAGTCTTTGCTGCTTCCAGGTCCATCTTTTTGTTTAGTGAATTGTTTCGCTCGTTTAACGCTGTCCATAATAATGTTCCTTTTCGAATCCCGTGAAGGAAAGTCTTCATTCGCCGCCTCCGCTTTCTTTCGTATGTTTGCTTTATTGTCCTTTTGCGTTGATCGTGGAATGAATGTAACTGGGGCCACTTCGTGTCCGTCAACGGTTCGGAGTCCATACTTTCGCGGTTGTTTTGGGCGGCTGGGTATTGGGTGATATCGAACATCATTACTAAACCGAATTTGGGCGTGAATTCGGTCTCTAGCTTCAGCTGCTGCTTTTCGTCTGACAACTGGCTGTGGTTCGCGAAACAATTCGTCGAGGTTGTATCCCTCAGGATCAGAGTTGTTGCTGGTTAATCTGTCAGTGACCTGTTCATCAATGATATCCATTGGTGGCGCTGCTGGTAGTTCAGCGAGTGGTAATTCATGCACATGTACTGCTCCTGGGATTGGGGGTGGATCCGGCGGTGGTGGTATTACTGGTACTGGGACCGGTAATGGTACCACTATTGGTGCTGCTGGAATTGGCATCGGTGCAGGTGCTGCTGCAACTGCTGGCGCTCCAAAGGGCACTGATAGTCTGATTCTAGCTGGTGCGGCTGGTTGATCGGTTTCGTCAGGATTATCAGGTTGGATCTCATCTAAGAGTTTCGGCAAGTTTTCGTCGAAAAGTCCTGGTTCGCTTCGGTATTTTCCGAGTGAAGGATCCGTTTGAAACTTCGTTGGATCTATTGGATTGAGATCTTCTGGTTGATGCTGTGGATCAACTGGTCTGAGACGAATTCGGTGCACACATTGGGTGTAGTTAGTTCCAACTTTCCGAATTATATAGTTCGAATTTGTTAACACTTTCTCAACTCTGTACAGGGGTATCCAGACTTGCATTGATTTGCTTCCAAAGTCTGACTGTGTAGTCAGCAGAGGATTTAGTAGTAAACAAAATGATTCGACTGTGAGAGGCTGCGCAAGTGCCTTTTGATCGTAATATCCTCGATACTTGTGGTACGAAGAAATCAAGTTCTTTTTTGTTTCTTTGAACTTTTCTAGCATCGCGTCTTGCATTGCCGTAACGAAGTCTGATTCTGCTGTTACTGATTCCATTGCTTTCGTCGAAAAGCGAAGATCAAGTGGTTTTGTTGGTTCTCTTCCATGAAAAATGGAGCTAGGGCAGCATCCAATTGATGAAGAGTACGACGTATTGTGAATGAATGTTGCCAATGGGACATATTTGTGCCAGTCTGACCATTGTTCATTAGTATTCAGCTTCAAGATCCTTTTTAGAGGTCCATGAGATCGCTCGACAAGACCAATTGATTGTGGATGTTTCAGCGTTGCGTGGTTGATTTGAACTTCTAATAGAGTTGTCAATTCATGCATTAGTTCTGACGTGAATGTCGTTCCGAGATCTGCTATGATCTTTTTCGGTATGTAGCTGTGCATGAAAAATATTTTCGTGAGTTCCCTTGCTACTGTATCAGCGCTAGCGTTTGTCAATGGTGCTG